GACATACGCTTCATGAGTTAATAAGGATGGTGCATATTTTATACATCAGGTACTTAGCATTAAATGGCCAAGTGTTCATAAAAACAGTCTAATTGATGCTGGAGTATGCATTGCAAAAGCAAATCATTTCTTAAACCTTTATGCGTGTGTGTGTGCACGCGCGTGTGCACCCGCACACATGTATGTATACATGACAGGTGCATACAGGTGCCCTCAGCATCCAGAAGAGGGCGTTAGATCTCCTGGAGGTGAAGGGACAGACAGCCGTGAGCTGCACAATGTGGGTGCTAGCAACAGACCTCTGGAAGAACAGGAAGTGCTCTCAACTGCAGAGCCATCTCTCTAGACCTAAAAGCAAAGGAGCTGAGCTTCAGAAAAGTCAAAGAATTTAATGCTAATGGTCCAGCCAGTATTTCCAGTGGCTTTGAACGCAGACACTTTGTTTTGTTAATTCAGTGGTTCTCAACCTCCCTGATGCTGTGACCCTTTAATGCAGTTCCTCATGTTGTAGTGACCCCCCCAACTATAAAATTATTTCATTGCTGCATCATAACTGTAATTTTACTACTGTCATGAATTGTGTGTAAACATCTGATATGTGGGATGTCTGACATGCGACCTCTGTGGAGGGGTCCCGACCCACAGGCTGAGGACAAGCTCCGCTCATCACAGTGTTGTAGACCACCCGGATCAGAATCGAAAGGGGATGTTTCATCCATGCAATGGGCTTGATAAACGCTCTCTTTTTAGGATGGACGGAACCAAGCGGTCTGACCCAGTCCCTCCCCTGCTCCCTCCCTTTCCCTAGGAGAGTCTTCTTTCCCACTTCGGCATCAATCTCTTAATGGCAATATCTCTCACCAGACACTGGACACCACTTCAGCCAATCCCAGAGATGTATGTCTGGACCCCAAAGTGGGGGTCTCTTTTAACTGTCTTTCAACCAGTGATAACTCTCTCGTGTGTGGGTGGTTATTTAGGGTGTAGATCCACAAGTAGCATCACTGCTTCCCAAGACATAAACATCTTCGCAGCTCGAGGCACACTGCCAAATCACTCTCAACACAGTTATTCCGTTTTTAAGGCTTTCACTAACAGAAAACTGATATTTTAACACTCCAAGTTTCAAGTACATGGATCATTTATTTAGTTATATCTCTAACGGTAAATGAAAAATGCATGCTATATTAATTCTAAGGTTGGTAGAGAAAGGTGGTCTTCGAGGGAAGGTGTTCATGTCCATACTAGTGGAATTAAATGCAGTTCCTCACATGTGTAGTGTCTGTATTGCTTCTTTTTAAAATTGCTACTGGTGGATCTATTTGTACTACTATGCCCTGACATTTTCTCCTGGAGACAGATAAGAAGATACTGTGGGAGGTATAGATCCCTGTTCAAGGGCAAAGTGTTGAGACAGGGTTTCTAACCTGTCCTGGAACTAGCTCTTGTAGATCAGGCTGGCCTCAAACTCACAGAGATCCACCTGCCTCTGCCCCCCGAGTGCTGGGATTAAAGGCTGCGCCACCACTGCCCGGTCCAACTTTCGTGTTTTGAATGGGCACATTTGTTCAGTGGTTCTGGAGGGAGCTCACTGGGAGCAGGTGTCTTTGTAAATGGTATTCTACATTTTAAGAGAACAAGGGCACTTGGTAAGGGAGCCTCGCTGCCACCCGTTTGCGACGTCACAGAGGTTCGGTCACCCTTGATCACAGTGAACTCTACTTCACCTCTCCACTCTTTCTGCCAGAAGAGCCAACATCTGACTCTCTGGGGAGACCAGCCTCTCCCCTACTGCTCTCTCCAGAACAAGGCAAACTTTATCCCACTTCCCAGAGGCTCTGGGGGCAGCAAGTCAGCCCTCTCCTCAGAATCTAGAGCCCTCCCTGTCTTGACCTGACATCCCAGGGTCTCCTCGTGTGAGCTTTCCTTCTCCTTGCCCCCTGACCCTGAAGGGCCAGCACTGCACTTAGCACGTCACAGGCGCTCAGCTACCATTGCGCTGAGTTGACAGTTGCTTTGTGCTGGGTATTAACATGCAGGGAGTTTATGCTTTTCTTCTTTCTTGCGGCTGCAGGGAGCTGGACTGCTTCCCTGGTCCTCGCTCCCTGCTTGTCCTGAACTCTCTGGGCTGTTCACACTTCTAACAAAACTGTGCCTCTTCTTCCTCTCCCTGCGTTCCTCTACCCCATCTTCTAGTCCAACAAATCCCACCTTCAACACAGGTAAATATGGGCAGGATGGAAGCAAAGGCAGCACTTGCTGCATCCTGCCTCGTCCGAAGTTTTGTGAAGGGCTTTATAGCCTAGTGTAGAAACTCAATACACACCCGCTGCATCTAGCGCCTCTCTTGAAGGTGGGGTTTGAGGAGGAGGGTGACAGCAATGCATGCGGTCCCCAACGTGTCAACAAGGGGAGCTGACACTCTAGCTACCTTGACAATCACTCTGTAGGATCTCACCTTTGTGTTGTTTTGCTTTGTCTGAGACAGTTTCCCTGTGTAGCCCAAGCTGTGTTTAAATTCAAGATCCTCCTGCCTCCGCTTCCAAAGGACGAGGATGGCAGGTGTGTAGTGCTATACCCAGCCATCCTCCTGCCTCCGCTTTCAAAGGACTAGGATTGCAGGTGTGTGGCGCTGTCTGTGCCCAGCCACATCACACATGTTGGGTCAGCAATTCGGGACAAGTTGCGGGCTTATTCTTCCTGCTCACATCAGCAGAGGTGACTTGGCATTGAACTGAATACCTGAAGGTCCGAGGTGGCTGCACTTGAGCGGTTGGGACCTTGGTGCGGGATAACAGAAGTGCCTATGTGGGGCCTCTTGAGCATGACGTCCACAGGGACATTTAGTTTTTTTATGGATACCCAGGGCTCCGAGTTCTGCTTAGACCGTAACTCGTGGTTCCCTTATGGTTTGCTCCTTGTCAGCCTTCTCAATCCCACGGTACTCATTCCCACAAGAAGCGCTTCCATTCCTTCACCTCCGCGCTGATGACGTCCAAGTACCTCTCAGCTTTGATTCTCTTCGAGTGGCATGAAGTTTCCTATGGGAGCTTTTTATGAAAATAATGGCATCGTTTTCTCCAAATCATTCTATGATGAAGGTAATAAAGTCACCTCAGGTGACAACATCACCAAGACTGCCTGCTGCCATCTCTGGATGTCGCTTGACTCCACAGTGACCCTTCCTTAGCTGGATTATCTGATTAGACATGCCACTCACCTGAGCCCTTTACCATCTGCTGAGCCCTGCTCAACACGGGCACAGAATCTCAGAGTCTGCTGCCCTGCCCAATGCAGACACAGAATCTCAGAGTCTGCTGCCCTGCCCAATGCGGACACACAGAATCTCAGAGTCTGCTGCCCTGCCCAACACAGACACACGGATTCTCAGAGTCTTCTGTTTATTATACTTTTTCATCCACACGTCTTCTCAACTTCTTGCCCAGTCTCTCCTTTCTCCCCATCACTCAATTTCCTAGTCACCAGGCCAACAGGCCGCTCTGTTTCCCCAGTAGCCTTCTCTTCACACACGCCGCTGGCCTGCCTCTGCTGCTCATCACTGCTTTTCTGGGCCAAGTCTCAGAAGTCTGCGTTATCGTGGAGGGTCCTTAGTTCACGCACACTTTCCCATTAAGAGTGGCGTCCAGGGGCATTCTGCCTCACATGTCCCACTCCTGGAGATGAGTCTGAGTCTGTACACTCTCCTGGGTACCGTGGTGAGCAGCAGAACCTGAATGCTGAGGGAGGATGCTGACAACAGCCAGTGACTCTTGGGTGTCTCTGTGTGGTCCTGGAAGCCCCAGTCTGCTCTCCACATTTTCTTAAACAGTATTTTGAAAAGCTGTACAAATAAGTAAACGCTCAAAATAAATCTTTACTCAAAGACAGAAGTAAGAAAAACTCTTTGCCCACCACAAGCCCACATCCCCAATGTCTGGAGTGTCACTAGAGGTAGCAGGATCTCAAATCTGGGACTAGATTTGACACAAACACAAACCAAAACTGGAGGATTTTCTCAGGTCTAAGAAGAACAGGAAGCTGGTCAGATGGCAGAGTTGCGTCTATAGCCAGGCGAGCTACCTCTGTTCCTTCCAGTACTTCCGATAAGAACTAATCAAAGGAGCAAGGACTGTCATGTCCCAGACTGCAGAGAAAGATCCACCACAGGCTTGCTAGCGTGGCCATTAGCTCATTCGACATCTGCCTGCTAAAAGGGATCACTTAAAACATTTTCTGGTAAAAGTCTAGAGTGTTTTTAAGTTTTGCACACACATACACACTTCTGAAGTTGGCATTTGGAAAGCAATGTAGAGAGAGGAGCATTTGTAACTGAAAGAGAAGAAAGGGAAGCCGGGCACCTAGAAAGGCCCAGGACTGGGAAGTGCGTCCTACACTCTAGCCTCTTGTGGGAAAGTTCGCTGCTCTGTGGACTTCACCACAGGATCTCGCCTGTTCAAGGGAGTCAGCCCCTGCTCTCGGCCGGGTTAAGGCTCCTCCGCTGAAGAGTAATAGAGGCACAGCGCGTGCAGAGACGCGAGATGAGGCTCCTCGGTGTGCCCTCCGGGTATTACCAGGAATCGGTGCCAAACCAGCGGTGCGGGCCAGGACTTTAGGAGTGACGCGCAACTTGGAGGCTTCCGCACCCCAGAGCACGTCTTTGCGGCTTAGATCTTGGGAGACCTGGCCCGGCCCAACTACTTGCCCCTAGCCCCTCCTCCAATGATCAGGCTATATAGATCACCGCCCCCAGGCCGGGGCGCAGAGGTGCCAAGCAACCTGGGCTTAGTGGGTCCTCCTGGTCCAAGCGAGGTGAAGGGACGCCCCTCACTTTTGAGCCCCAGCAGCGCCGCCTCGGCAGCGGCACCACCCCGGCTCGGGTGGCTGTCCCAGAAGTCAGAAGTCGCGGGTTCGGCGCCCGCACCAGGCAGCAGTGCCTCTGTAACCTTCAGGGCTGAGTCCTTTTGGTCCTCCACTCGCACCTCTCTGCCCTTCTAGCCAAGATGGTGAGCCCGACAACTTCCGAAGTGCACCCCACCATGGGGGTCAAGATCTTTTCAGCTGGCATATCCGCCTGCCTTGCAGATATCATCACCTTCCCACTGGACACAGCCAAAGTCCGGCTTCAGGTAGGGTACAATGAAGTTGGCGAGGGTTTTCCGGGTAGAGGAACTGCTGAGGGCAGCCCTGTCGTGTCTGCTGTGATGTAACCACTCTTTCTCAGGGCAGCTCTGTATTAGGACTGGGGACTATAGGAAAGGAAATGGGGGCCCTTTGCCCGATTGCTGAAGAGTTGTGGGTTGACAGTGACCTCTACCAAGCCCTTCATGCGGCTATGGTATCCTGAGTAGGTACGGTCCTTAGAGTACACCCCTCGGAGCTTACAAGCTTGGCACTTTTACCTTTCCTTGATTCTTTGGGGGTACTGGCCATCCTGCGCTTAGGGGCTGTGGAGAGTTCCTGGGTACCTTGTCCAGATGTTCAGAGCCTGCACTGCAGCCAGCCCCAACTTTGAGATAGATAGATGATAGGCTGATAAAGAGATGATAGATAGATAGATAGATGGATAGTAGATAGATAGATAGATAGATAGATAGATAGATAGATAGATAGATAGACAGATGATAGATAAATAGATAAATCGACTGATAGATGGATGATAGATAGGCAGACAGACAGATAGATGACAGTAGATAGATTATAGATAGATGATAGAAGATAGATAGATAGATAGATAGATAGATAGATAGATAGATAGATAGAAAAAGGGAGGGAAGAAGGGAGGGAGGGAGAGAGACACAATTGTAGAGTTGTATGCAGGAGAGGTTGCTGAGAAAGGCAATTTATAAGGAGCCTAATTGGCAAGCCTTGCCTAGGGTGTCCCCATGGTCCTCATGTACCAGTCTTTAGTGCTCACCAGGTACGACCCCCTTCCTTAATGGACAGTCACTTCCTCTGACCTGTACCTTTCTGATTTCCAGATCCAAGGTGAAGGCCAGACCTCCACTACCATTAGGTATAAAGGTGTCCTGGGAACCATCACCACCCTGGCAAAAACAGAAGGGTGGCCGAAACTGTACAGTGGTCTGCCTGCTGGCATTCAGAGGCAAATCAGCTTCGCCTCACTCAGGATCGGTCTCTATGATACTGTCCAAGAGTACTTCTCTTCAGGGAAAGAAAGTAAGAAGTGCTGGGGGTGGGGGGAGTTAGGACCCAGACCACGCTCTATTCAAACATTGAAAAATGAGTGGTAGTATATTTACCTAGCATAGGTTAGGCTCTGGGTTCCATCCCAGCAGCCCCAACTCACCCAAAATAACACAAAGTGTGGTGACATTCATAACAAATTAGCAAAAAAGAAAGTCGGTATTTGCACTGTTTCTTTTCCCCAAGAAAGAGAAGGAGATGTGCAAGCCAGCTCTTCACATGCAGGTTTACACAGGTAAAATTCCACTGGCCAGGGAGGGGGGCTTTGTGTCTCTTCATAGCAGAGTCCCATGGAAGCCTAGAGAGCTCCTGTGAAGTCTAAGAGAGACCACCACGCTCCCCGAGTCTGCATTAGTGTCCAAGTAAAACTCATCCCCACAGGAAGAACTCCCAGTGTTCAGGTCTGGATACTTCTAGATCAACATGGCATTGTCATTTTGCCAGAGACAGAAAAAACAGATCTACCTAGAGTAGAAAGCCCATTCCGGTAACTTTCTCCAGATGTTTTAATCAACCTCCCGGTATGTCAGACTCTAAACTAACCAGATATATTTTGGGAGTGTCCACATTACGCTTCACCAGTTGATCTAGTAAGCTCTGTTGAGCTGTCTTGGGTGGGAAACCGGGCTAGGTTGGCTGACAGTCGCCACTGTGGATGGGAACCGCAGCTCAGCTGACTGTACAACAGTGGCATGCGCTGTGTTGCAAGCCGCTGCGGACTGGGCACTGTGGAGAGGTGTGATCATGCAGATTCGTGAGGAGTCGTTATCTGCATTGAGTCCTGAGAGGGCAGTGGGAAACTTCAAGGGCCAGGGGCAATGTGACGAGAAAAGTCCTTTCCAGACAAGTGAAGGCCGTGCCCAAAATCTCAGTGAGGAGTTGAGCAGCTACGCAGGGCCGGGGGGTCGGGTGGACACTGGTGAGAAGGAACAGGAGAGGCCAGAAAATCAGGAGCTGGTCACAGAGGGCCTTGCCACCATTCACTCTAAGGAGTTTGTATTCTACCCACACAGTGATGGGAAGTCGTGGGGAAAATGCTAAGCAGCTCCCCAGGTGCGGGGGCACATACCTAGAACCGCAGAACGCGGGCTGCTGAAGTTTGCTAGCACTATTGTCTGCATTGAGCCGGTGCAGCTTCCAGACATGCTCAGTCCTGACAGAGTACGAGGGAAGAAGGAAAGACACAAGGTAAACATACTAGAGCTACGAGAAGCTCAGGCAGCCATGTGTTCACCTGGCAAGCACAAGGCCCGGAGTTCAGTCCCTGGAACTCTCTTCATTGCCCCAAATCCAGGTGCACTGGCAAACACCTGTGACCCCAGCCCTCGGAGGTGAAGACAGAGACTGGGCATGGTGACCGGCTAGGCTAGTCTGCTAGGCAAGTTGCCCATTAGAGTTCCCATATCAAAAAAACAAAACAACAGCTTGTGTGGGAGAATTGTCTGTATTCTGTCAACCGTGTTATAAATAAACGCTGATTGGCCAGGCAGGAAATATAGGCAGAAAAACCAGACAGGAAATAGAAATGATGTAATGAGAACGGGAGAATTCTGGGAAGGAGGAAGTTGATTCCTCCCACTCCTGCCCAGATCACCGAAGCAGCAGGATGTGATCTGCTCCACTGAAAAAAGGTACTGAGCCACATGGCTAACATAGATCGGAAAAATGGGTTAATCAAGATGTGAGAGTTAGCCAGTGAGAGGCTAGAGCTAATGGGCTAATCAGTTTATAATTTATGGAGACCTATGTGTGATTTTCTTTGGGGCTAAACAGTTGTGGGGTACCGGGCAGGACAAAAACCCCACACAACATGCAGGCCCCCATTCATGTTACAAATGGCTTCCTGAAGAAGGGGGGCAGAGGTTGTCCTCTGGCACACGCATGCAAGCCCACGTGCACACACGCGCACACGCGCGCGCACACACACACACGTGCACACACACACACACACACAGACTGATCACAAAATTTAAAGATATGTGGGTGTGTGAGGAGGGGTTCTGGATTTTCTTTTCTTGATCAGTCTTTTGTTCTTCCTGGGTAGCGCCTCCCACTTTGGGAAACAGGATCTCAGCTGGCTTATTGACTGGAGGTGTGGCAGTATTCATCGGACAACCTACTGAGGTCGTGAAAGTCAGACTCCAAGCACAGAGTCACTTACACGGGATCAAACCCCGCTACACAGGGACCTACAATGCTTACAGAATTATAGCCACAACAGAAAGCTTGTCAACTCTCTGGAAAGGTAACTGTCAACCAGATGGACTTTTGTAATAATTAAGGCATCTTATCATAAACTTCACTTATTAAATGTTGTCTTGTTTTTCTCCAGGGACGACCCCTAATCTGATGAGAAACGTCATTATCAATTGTACAGAGCTGGTAACATATGACCTCATGAAGGGGGCCCTTGTGAACAACCAAATACTGGCAGGTACTTTCCGTATACAACAAACATGTCTGCACCTTCCAGTCTCAGTTGGAGGTTCTAAAGCTATGGGGGGTTGAATTCCTTAATTCTAGTAGGCTTCTCTTTTCCTCTTTTGAGAGTTAAGTGTGTGTGTATGTGTGTGTGTGTGTGTGTGTGTGTGAGAGAGAGAGAGAGAGAGAGAGAGAGAGAGAGAGAGAGAGAGAGAGAGAGTCACAATATAGCAGCTCCTAGCTGATCTGGAACACCATATTCAGACCAGGCTGGTCACCAACCTGAAATCCTCCTGCCTCTGTCTCTCAAATGCTGGCTTAAAAGGTGTCCCATCACACCTGGCAAAAAAGACCTAAAGCTTAAAAGTTGGGAAAAGTCAAAGTGCAAAGGGATGTCGTGGCGATATTCTCTGTTAATACGAAGAAGCACTCGTCCGTTGGGATTCTTCTCTCAGCAGGCAGTCAAGCTTGGCTTACCTTCAGAGTTCATCACTGATTCATCTCAATCCTTTCCTGTTTCTATAGACACAGACATTCTCCTTTGATGATTTTAATTCAACTGAGCAGTATTAGATGCTCATGTATCAGGCGTGACCTAAAATAACACCCCTGCAAATAGACCTGCAGTCACTATGCCATTCCCCGTCAGCCATGGTCTTTTATAACAAGTCTGTGCTCTCTCTTATATGCGCATCTGTTTATAAGACGTCACGTTAACCTCCTGTTACTAATAGGTTGACAAGGGTCTCACAGGCAGCTCACAGTCTAATGTTGACGCATGTCGCTGGTCCCTTTCAGACGACGTGCCCTGCCATTTACTGTCAGCTCTTGTGGCCGGGTTTTGCACCACCTTCCTGGCCTCTCCAGCGGATGTGGTAAAAACAAGATTCATCAACTCTCTACCTGGACAGTACCCGAGTGTACCCAGCTGTGCAATGACCATGCTCACCAAGGAAGGACCAACGGCTTTCTTCAAAGGGTAGGATATGACCTTCTGCGTCTATAAGGTTGTGTTTAAGGTGTCTGTGGACATGGGGACACTGTCTCGGCAAAACAACTGGCATTTAGTCTACCGGGCCTGGTCCATGCAATGGCCTCAAACTCTATCTTTGCCTTGTCATGAATGTCTTCAATCCGCCAATCCCATCATGCTGGGAAATTAAAGCCAATTCATTCTTTTTAGCAGTGCTTGAGGGAAGCAACCCCAGGGCCTTGCACGTGCCAGGCAAGCAGTCTATGGCGGAGCTATACCTTCAGCTAATTTTAAAATGTTTCTTTTAAAGCAAAACCACAGAAAATGTTGCTTGGATAATGATTACACTCGTGTCAAAAGTGCAATGAAGACATAGATCACATTTCCTCCCAAAGTGATATTATATTATATTGAAAACCACTTTTCTAATAAAATACAGTATGACATAGCTTTTAAATATATTCGACAAGTATTACAAAGATATAACCTTTTGAGTTGCAAAGCCATGCCCCGAGATTTCTAAAATAAAATATGAATGTATCATGCATATTATATAAAATCCTAAGTCTATCTGCTCTTATGATATATTAATACAAATAATATACATTATAAAATTAACTTAAAATGGATATACCACCTATAAATTGCTGACCACTTAATAATTTAATCTTCTGCAATTTTTTAATATTGTTTTACAAAATTTTAAATCGTTTTTAATATGGATAGTCTTGACAAATGGTGCTAAATTAAGCGAGTTGAGCTGAGCGCGGAGGCAAACACTTGTAATCCTAGAACATGGGCGGCTAAGGCATGGGGACTGCCGTGAGTTCAAGACCAGCCTGAAATACAGAGTGAGTTTCAGGCCAGCCAGGGCCACGTAGCAAGACCCTGTCTCTAAGACTGAGGAGATCGGTCAGTCTGTGACGCTCTGGCCATATGCACATGGAAACTGGAATTCAGTTCCAGAACCCATGTAAAAAGCCAAGCGTAGGGGCACATGCTTGTAATCCCAGGGCTAGGCGGCAGAAGCAAGAGCTTCCCTCGTGCTTGCTGGCATCCAGGCTGGCCTAACAATTGAGCCCCATGTCTCAGGAAGAGACCTTGTCTCAAAAAAGGGTAAGGCTAGAAGGCCACACCGAGGAACAGCCAAGGTCAACCTTTGACCGAGGAGGTGGGAAGCTAGTGTTTAAAGGATGAAGAGTCTGAGGAAACAAAATGCCCTGGCTCTGACTCTGGTGTTTACTACACATTGTACATGCACCTAATGCTACAGAAAAACACATCGAAAAATAGTTGAAATGTCCATTTTTGTGCTACTTACATCTTTTCACACGAAAAAAAAAAGCCATGCATCTGGGAGTGACGAGACCCCAGAAGAGTAAAAATTCATCGGGGAAGCTGAGTGCGTTGGCACATGCGTGTAGTCCCGGCACTGGGGAGACAGGAGCGCCAGTGTTGGTCTCTAGACGTCTGAGGCTAGCCTGGGCTGCACAGGCCACCCGGGGTTATACAGCAAGACCCACTCTCAAAACTAAAACAAAACAAATTGTAAAAACAAAGCTCATTGGAAGGTCCTTTTGCAGAAAAGCCTTCTTTTTAAAAAATAATTTTTAAAAAAAGTCTGTTCAGCGGCAGAAGAGACAGCTCAGTGATGGAGACTTCCAGGAGACCTGGGTCCAGTTCCCAGAGCCACACAGTGACATACAACCTAGTTGTTGGTAGAGGAAAGACAAGCATCGAGGACTTCGCCTTGTTGGTTTTGTTTGTTTGTTTTTTATCATTCCTTGAGTTGTGTGAGTCACGTAAGCTGCTCGTGGCACCAGGGCTGTGGCTTTGGAGCGGCTACCAGACTGTGTCCTGTGCTCCCCCAGGTTTGTGCCTTCTTTCCTGCGACTGGCGTCCTGGAATGTCATCATGTTTGTGTGCTTCGAACAGCTGAAGAAGGAACTGACGAAGTCCAGGCAGACGGTGGACTGCACCACATAACGAGCTTGGCGAAAGCGGTGGGGCGCAGCCGTGGTTCTTGTGCTGGAGACCATGAGTAAAACCAACCAAACCAACCAAGCAAACAGCTTTAGTCACTGGGCTACTTTTAAAAATCATTTCTTGTACAGAGCTTTGAAACAAACTCCTTCTAATTTTTCTATAAGGGAAAACTAACACATACACACCATTTTCATTCTCCCTGTCTTAAGGAGGAAAAGCATAGTACCCATAGCACCCAGTATGCATGTTGGCAAAATAATGCCCACATAGAGTACTGCCTTTAACAGGTCTTTTGGGGGTGGGATTCTATGACTGGGTATAAATAATTTTAATTACAGCTCAGACTGGTGTAAAGGAAAACTTTACATCCATAAACACTTAAAAATGAAGTTATGAAAGAAAATATTGATGTTTCATTTTATTTATCAACCATAGTTCATAGCGAATATAATCAATAAAGTGTTGCTAATTCCACCCAAAATTTGTCTTTTAGAGTCTGTACCTGGAATTAAGTGTTTGGGGTCAGTTAGAATACGGAAGTGTCCCCATAGCAAGAGAAGTTCCTTGGCATCAAAAGCACAGACTAACTTGGTTCACACGGATATCTGAAGACCGTATTTTATGGCACCTTCTAAGTGCAGGCATGATATTCATTTGGTCACCAGTGTCACTGTTGGTGAACCGTGGCTGTGTCTTCCCCGCAATGCCAAGATGGTTAGCAGCAGTGGAGTGAGCTTTTTATTTATTTTTTTCACTCCTACACACTGAGAAGAGCAGAACGAGGACACTATATTACAGTCAGCCGTAAGGATCAGGACGCCCTCACCGGTCAGCTCCTCTGCTCCTGATTCAGTTGGTTTCGGGCTGAATTTGCTTCGGTGGGTTCATTCCCGGGTCTCAGGCTAGGCTGGGTCCGTCTGTTTGGTGTTGCCATGGGTCCCATTGCTCTACCCACAGAGAAATCACAGGGAAACAGGAGGGGTTCTTCAAATGCTGCCCTTTGGTGCCTTCTGTGTCGTCAGCGTATGGCAACAGCTGGCAGCAGAGGCGGAGGAGCAGCGGGCGGTCCTTGTGTGTGGTTCTGTACAGGACACTTATGTTTTCGTGTCTCCGTTCTTCTATAGGCCCAGGACGTCAGGGCTGTGCAGCCCTGGGCTGGTAACTGGTGGGTGTGGCCTTTTTGGTGCACCTAGGCATCAGAACTCCTCCTCAGCCCTTGACAGCAACTCTTGAGGCGGTCTAGGAAGATGAGATTTCTGCACCTAACTTAACACTGGCAAGTGCCACAGCTATTTGGCCAGGCTGTTTGAGACTCCTGGCTGTTAACTCGGTCTTCCAGTTGCTGGGTCGGAGGAAGACCGCTTTGACTGAACTTAATGTTGCGATGCCCAAGGGGGTGGGGGTTGTGGGGTGGAGACAGCAGGTCAGGTGTCAATTCCCAGCTGACTCCCTCCAGCAGTCTGATCCAGAAGCTAGAGAAGGGATGCTTGCACCAATCACAACACGCATATGCAAATGAAGGAGCATGTCCGAAGTAACATCATTGCAGCTCCTTCGCTAGACCACCAGGGGGCGTGCTCCTCCTCTGGCCTGTGTGATAATGGCCAGGGAGTCATTGAGTTCACCAGGACTTGTGAGAGCAAAAAGTCCAATACAGAGTGCTCGGAACAGTCCTGACGCAGGCCGTGCCTTCAGGGGCTTCCGGCGACCAGGGCCTTCCTTTGTGTAGCTTTGACAAGGCGTTCATGGAATTTTTTCAAAGCAGCTAGTATCGACAGAAGGGTAATCTTGCTATGTTTGACTGACTGTCCCCTCATTCAAAACAGCTAGGAAAGCAAGGGAGTCAAGAGGGTGCTTACTGACCAGAGTCAACAGCCTTGCTTACTTACAGGAAAATGAACACCAGATGGCTTGCTCACAGCAAATATGTAAGAACCTTAATGCTAACGTAAAGTGGTTTTAACCTTTAACATTGGCCCGCCGTCCCAGGGAGAGCTGAGCTCCTTCTATGTATCTCAGGGAAAGGACATGTTTGTTCTTCCAGACCAGCATTGATCTGCCCATAAGTAAGGAGTACCCTGAGGGCCAAATTGCCTTTCCAGGCCCTACACTTTTCCTGTCCCAGCACCTCAGCAGCGCAGGCCATGGATGACCCCACTAGCCCATCACTGCCGTTCCCTACTTGTTAGCTGCAGGAGAACTCTGTGGTGGCTTTCTCAGTGTCTTTTCCAGACTGCTCAGCTTTCACTATTTTGGTGTGCTCTAGCCTGATTCCTGTGTTCCCGGGAGCACCTCCCTTCTTAGGAACTTCTCACCTGACTCCTGTGTTCCCAGGAGCACCTCCCTTCTTAGGAACTTCTCACCTGACTCCTGTGTTCCCAGGAGCACCTCCCTTCTTAGGAACTTCTCACCTGACTCCTGTGTTCCCAGGAGCACCTCCCTTCTTAGGAACTTCTCACCTGACTCCTGTGTTCCCGGGAGCACCTCACTTCTTAGGAACTTCTCACCTGACTCCTGTGTTCCCGGGAGCACCTCACTTCTTAGGGTCTCCTCACCTGGAGTCACCCTTGCCTACCTGTGCATGGCATCTGAGAGCTGGCTCAGAACTGTGAGAAGTGAGGAACTGAGATGGCATATCAGTTCCTCATTTCTGTAAAGCCTCGTGAAAAACACCACTGAGAGATCGAACTCAAGTTGCATATAGTGGTGTTCTGCTTGGAACGAAGACCCTTTCTGCACCAATATGTTCTCTCTCGATCTCCAGGGCCTGGCCAGTGTCACCTGGCATCGCCTTCCATGGCATACAGAGCCTTTGCTTAAGTTGGCTTCTGAAGGAATCCAACACATTCGAGTATCATCTTTCAAGAATAAAGAAGAAAGCATAAAGTTTCGTTTCTTTGTATGTATCATGTTTGCCCCAATGGCAGTAAGAAGAGAAGAGAACTGAGATCCTAAGCCCTGGGACACAGAAAGGCAATCAGAAAATGTGTCTGACATTGTATACAGAGTGGTAAAGCAGGCTTAGGTCCTGCATTCACATCCAAAGATAGAAGCAAATTGGTGCTGGTGGCACCTGCCAGCTCACCGGGTGTCCTGGTTAGTAGTCTCATCTGGGAAGAGCCCCTCAGGAGGGTGGAAGGTCCCAACCAATGATTCTTCTTTTTCACACAAATTGTAAGAGTTGCCTTCCTTATGTGACAAGGTAAGGTCTGCACTCTGTGGCTGAGACACATTGGCTTGCTGTTCTCTTCAAGTTTTAGCAGGGATGGATATTTTTACTGGGGAAGATGACATGTACACACAAAAGCACACAAATGAATTACTTAATAAATTATCACAAAGTAAGCCAGCAGTGATGCTCAAGGGACAGGCCCATCTCTGTCACGTGACTTTACCTTTGTGTTTAACGTTGTCTTCTTTAAGTGTAGACTCACAGATGAAGGCATTCACCCTGTCAGTTGTCTCGTCTGGGAGGATTTGTGTAAACTGACCCATTTGCTGGGGTGTGTGACATCTTCCGGCTGATACTGTAGGTTTAGGGCTACTCATGCAGTCTCTTGTAGCTGCAGTTCATAGGCCATCAGCAGCACCCAGCATCGCAGTGTAGAAATGAAGAGGTCTGATCCCCTCCATCTGCTGGCATCTGAGCCTTCCTTTCAGGCTATATGAATTCTTATGATGTAGGGACTCATTTCCTACTTCTGCTATGACAGATTATCACAAATTAAGTGGCTTCAAACAATACAAACTTGTCTGGCAGTTCTGAAGATGAGAAATCCCCGATGAGATCTGCCCTTCTTCAGGCCCCAGAGGAGAATTCTCATCCTCAAATCCTTGGCTTCTCTACCTCTTTCAATTCTCTCCTATCATTTAACGTAACACATTCCTTCGCTCATCCCTGGAAGGCTGTTTCCATCTGACACATGTGCCCTGGTGTCCGTGTGCACTCATTTGTACAGGACAGCTACCTGAGTCGAGCCTCCTCCGGTGGCAGACCAGGCTGTTGCTCAGAAAGCAGCGTTTGACTGCACCTCGATGTGGATGGTATTTCCCTGGTACTAGTCTTCCGTTTGGCTCTACACCGTTCTCTGCCAATGGTTAAACAGAAGTGACAAGAGCAAAACTGGAAATTTGTCTACAGAGCTGGCTCACCCGCGAGCGCCCCAACAGTCTACCAGGACTGTGAAGTGCCCTGAAGAGCGGATGACATACACAGACTGCAGCAGGTGCCTCGCTAGCGCAATAGGTAGCGCGTCCGTCTTATAAAAAGGCTACAGCAGTTTGAGGCCAAGATGTTCCTCTGAATACAGACTGCAGGGTAACAGGGACAACTGGAGCAGGAAAGCGACCAATCACTGAGCACCCTGACTCTGAACCCAGAGTCAGAGAAAGAAACACACCCTGGATTTGAGACCTGAGCCAGGGAGAGAAACATCTTTATCCCTGAACCCAGGACTAAAGACTTGTGCCCTGGCTCTGAAACTAGTGTCAGAGAAACACACTTTGTCCCTAGAATCAGAGCCAGTGAAAGAATTATGCCTTGGCCCTAAGATTAGAGTCAAAAAGCTAAAAAGGACCAGTGAAAGAAACACAGTTTGGCCGTGAAGGCAGAGCCACCTCTGCCCCCCCCCACCCCCACCAGCTAAACTGACCAATCCCTGAGCAGGAAAAAATTAACCTATCCCCTTTCTCCCTGGGAAAACTCCACCCCTAAGAAGTCCTATATAAACCTTTCCACCCCTTCAGTTGAGAGCGGCCTTTAAGTGGCAGAGGCAGCAGCCCTCCTGGACTCCTCCATCCCAAATGAATCTCTTTCTCAAAAGAGTCTTGGGTGACGACCTTCATTCGCCAGTGCAGAGCTGAAGAACCTGGCTAGGATGTCCCTTAGGGGACTGAGCTGAAAAACCTTGCTGAGATGCTCCCAGCGCAGAACGGAAGAACCTTGCTAGGATGCTCCTTAAAGGGGCCGAGCAAAGCCAGCACCAGAGGAGATTGCTACATTTCTGCAGGGGCTTCCCCTAGCAGGGAGTTTGCAGAAGAAACATCTTGGGCTGGAGAAGAAGCAGACAGCTCTGCTAGGATGCTCCGTAAGGGAGCAGAGCAGAACTCAGCTGTAGTGGCTCTCCAGGAGAGGAGCAAGATCCCTATATCCTGCAGAGAGACCATCCCCCACCGCACCCCAGCTTCAGGTAGCCTGGCTTCCTGATAAGTCAGGACACCTTCCCTCCAGGGCTGAGCTGTCCCATTGCAGCTCCAGCCTCCAGAGCTGTCCTGTTGTGGCTCTAAGCATATCCTGGCTTCCCGATAACTCAGGCTATCCCAATACCACTCCTGGACCACATTCACCTACACAGACCATGAAAGGAGAAATGCTTTATAGATGGCATTCTATCTATAAAATTCATATGAAGAGAAAATATTTTCCAATCCATGAATACAGTATATATCCCCATAATATAAAATTCTGTTTTTAACGTAGCGTGGCATGGTCTCATCAGGGTAATACAGCATTTGGTCTGTTTATTCTTAGGTGCTTCTCTTAGAATTTCCATTGCTGTAATAAAACACTGAACCAAAGACACTTGAGGGGGAAAGGGTTTATGTCATCTTACACTTACTGGGAACATTACAGCCCTGAGGAAAGTCAAGGCAGAAACCTGGAGGCTGGAAGTGGAAGAGGGCACTGAGGAACACTGTTTACTGGCGTGACCATCCTGGTTTTCTCGTTTTCTTATGCCCACCTGCCCAGGGGTGACATCACAACGAGCTGGGCCCTCCCACATCAGTCATCAAGAAAAGGCCTACCGGCTCATCTACCGGCCAATCCTATGGCAGCGTTTTCTCGATTAAGATTGTTTTATTCCCAGATGCCCTCCCTTGTCCAGTTGATCTGAAGCTGGCCTGCATAGCAATGGGTATGTTTAGATACTAGAGACATTTGTGCAGATTTTCCAGCTGCTTTTGAATGGCATAGTAAAATGTAATTTTTGGAATCTTGACTTCATTTACTTGAGTCATTTCTGCATTTTTTTTTTGCTCTTTTCTGTTTGTATGCTTGATATTCTGACAGATTTAACTGTTAGACACATGGGCGCCATGTACTTCTTTTGATACACGTTTCACTTGCTTTTTGAGGCAGAATCATATTCTGGAGTCCCGGGAGTCCTCAGACTCTCACAGGCCCTACTGCCTTAGCTCTCTAAGTACTCTGGAGTACACTGGTGAGCCACAGGCCTACTTTTCATATTGACTTTATTAGCAACTTTGCCAACTCTTTATAGCAATTTAAAAATTTTTTCCCTTTGGGGTTAGAGAGCTGGCTCAGGTTAGAGCACTGGCTGCTCTTCCAGAGGTCCTGAGTTCAATTCCCAGCTACCACATGGTGGCTCACAACCATCTATAATGAGACCTGGCACCCTCTTCTGGTATAAAGGTGTGCATGCAGATAGAGCTCTCATATAAAACGAATAAATGAACCTTTAAAGAATTTTTTCTTTGCACATTTGCATGACTTTTGAACAGTGGCTTGTGACTTTCTATCATTTGTCCTCAGGCACCGTCTTTAGAGGCACACAGCAAATCTCCACGGGTCTCCCTTTGATCACAGAGAGCATTTCCCTGCTGCATCCACACTAGGCTTGACCGTGTGATATGCTGTGCCCAGGGGCACGCACTGTGAGCAGCAGGAACATGTTTGGACAATTGGACTTGTTATTGGTTTCCTGAAGTCATTGTTAAGGATATGCCTCAGGTTAGTTCCAGAAGAATTGAAACCAAAACTGTTCCCAAAATGGTGGTACTGACTTTAAGAGGATCCTAGAACCATCAGAGCTGACTAGCTAGCCGACCGGCATGGGTAAAGGCTTTAGGTGTGCCAACAGGTAGTTTCGCCTCGTAGCTGACTGCTAGACAACACTTGTGACACCAGCTGACCCGCACAAATTGTGATAGAGGCAGTGCCTTTAATTTGATCCATTTTACAATTTATATTTGTGTTTTATAAAATGAAGATAATCACTATTAACATTTGGGATTAATAATTTTATAACTTCATTACATTTTGTGTTGTGTTGTGTGTGCACTATGGATACACTAACCCCACGGCAGCACGTGGAGGTCGGTGTGTATGCACATGGGTACACTAACCTCACGGCAGCTTGTGGAGGTCAGGGACAACTTGTCAGGAGGTCTCTCCCACCCTGTGCATCTGGGAATCAACATTATCATCAAGCTTAGTGGGAGGAGCCTTTACTCTCTGACCCAGCTCACCAGCCTTAGAGGGAGGAGCCTTTACCCCCTGACCCAGCTCACCAGCCTTAGTGGGAGGAGTCTTTACCCTCTGATCCAGCTCACCAGCCTTAGAGGGAGGAGCCTTTACCCTCTGACCCAGCTCACCGCCCTTACGTTTTTGAAGATACTTATTGTATGTGTATGGGTATTTTCTGCATGTATGTCTGTGCATTATGTGCATACAGTGACACAAGAGGTGCTGAGTTCTTGGAATTGGGATGCTTGTGAGCCACCGTGTAGGTAATGGGAGTCAAACCAGTATCCTCTGAAAGAAAGTAGTGCCCTTAACACTGAGCCATCTCCCCAGCCTCCCTGATTTTTGTTTGTTGTTTGTTTGAACACAAAGGGGTACTGAACTCCTGTCAGGTGCTTTACCGCCTCTAAGACCATCACACAGCTCTCTCAAATACTAACATGGCAAATTACACTGGTTTAATCCTGAGTATAAACTGAACGTATCCATTAACATATCAAAACATCATCTACATGTAAGTCTATGTCATTTTAAAATATTTAGTATATTTTAAAGTTGTTTGCTAGCATTTAGTTTAGAATATCTAACATGATATTTCATATAATTTATCTTTTGCAAACTGTTCTTTGGGGCATCAACATTAGCGCAGCCTCATGATTTGCAGACTCTACACTATTTGCAGCAGTTTTTTAATTAATATTATTTTGAAAGTATTATTAAATTCACCAATCAAGCAAATTTTTAATAGAAAGTTTAATTACTTTGTTGATAGTTAAGCTTAAAGGTTCTAGGACTATCATTTCCATTTTGTATTTTTGGTTACAGTTTTAAAGCAATTTTTGTATTTCACCTAAGTTTTAAAGTTGACAAAATTATTCTTCATATATTTTCATTTGACTATTTGTAGAATCTGTAGTATGTTTCATATTTCATTCTTGGCATTATTTTCTTTCCTTTTAGTCTTAATTAGTCTTATCAGTTTATCAGCATTTGGGCTTAAAAAGCAGAAACATTTTAACAACTGTTGGTCCTGAAGCACAAGCGCAGACAACAGCAACCTAAGACTCCATTTGGTTTGGGCAACACACACACACACACACACACACACACACACACACACACACACACACACTGCACCTGGCAATCCTAGCAACCCAGGATCCTCACCTGTTCACTTCTGGGTGAAACGGGTCGGATGGGGTGAGTCCGGGTGAAACGGGGGGCTCCCTGTAAAAGAGTATCGCTGCCGTTCACAGCCACTTCCTGTCATCCAGCACCGCCTTACACAACCACAAAGTGAGGTACAAGTCACAAATCTGTGAGCTACACTTACCTGTAATTGCTTCCTAACGCAAATGACTTGGGGGGGGGGGGCACCAAGGCAGCCCGAGCACCCACAGAAAGGCGCACAACAGCTCCAGCTGTGTTTTTATTTTCTCACTTAACACCACAGACAAAAGGACAGCACACCTCACACCATTGCTTTTACTTGAAACTCAAATGTCTGATGCAAAATAGACAGAGATTTAAGTTGCCCAACAGTATTTCCCTGCAGGGAACACTGCCGCTTAGTTTGTCACCACTTTAATAAGAACGTAGAGCTACCTTACCGAAGTTAATGTGGGTCTTGGTCCTACCTACACTATATTTAAAAGCTTATCCCAACAAAACTGGAGGCAGAAGAAAAACCAACAATACAAGGCATGACACTTCTCAGAGTACTAACAGCTCGCTCATCTCCATTTGACAGCTGCTGTGTGCAGAGACTACGGACCGTGATCATGACAGAGTCCCCCAGCCGCAGGATCTTCAGCCGCAGGATCTTCATGGATTAGCCACAGCACCTGTCCTGAGGACTCAGCGGTGGCCCTCAGTCATGACCCCAGGAGTCAGCACTATCACTCTCCCGGGCAAACTGCCCTCTTCCATGCCATGATACCCTCGGCTACAGAAATGAGCAGGCGCTTTTCACACCCAATAAAGGTTTTTTTTTTTCCTTTGAGCAAAGCTTTTAATCAAAATTCCTTTCGTTGACTATTTTCAAGGGACAGAATAAGAATGGCGATCAACACTGAAGGAAGAAGAATGAGTGTTTACATTTTCATAGGAAAATGCATACAAATCAAAGTAGCTCCTAATATAGAAAAGAAAAAAACAGGGTAGGGATTTTTAAGAAAAAGATTCTGATTTCTGAACTGTAAATGTCACCAGCTTCAATTCAGATTTATGCCAGTTGGACTGCTACATTTATTTACAAAGAGGCTGGTCTAGACACCTGGTGTCTCCCATTTTTAGAAAGATTGTCTTTCACAGCATTTGACCTGGAGCTGTTACTGTTTACGCTGCTCTTGTCACTGGTAAACTTTCTTCAACCTCGCGCACAGAGATTCATCTCCACCCTGACTTCTACTGAAGCTCGTATAACCTCCTGCTGCTCAAATGCTCTGCCTATCGTCACACCGTCATCTTACTACTTCTAGACAGGTAGACATCTGCACATGCATTTCAAAACTACACACAATCGTGGCATCTCTGAAAGTAAAGGCTATGGGCTGTGCTGCTCCTTTGCTGCGTATGCCTAGCCTGTCAGCCAGAGGGCTCACGTTCCATTCTAGTGGACAACTGGTGACAGTCAAACTCTGGAACTTAAGATCAGTTCACTTTATAATTATCTGAAATGGTTAATAATAATTTTAATAAAAACAAACAATGTCTGTAACGTACAAACAAAGGAGAATTTAATGACTGTGACATTAACCAAACTATGACAAGATGTTCTTAACATGAGTAGAGGTTTCCTGCTGGGAAGGCTTAATTACTTAAACATTTCCTCTTTCACACTTCAAGTAGTCTTTTTATTAAATATGCTGATAAAGAGTTAAATCAGTTCAAGATCAAAGCTGCTGAAAAATTAAAATACAATAAGTATTTTAGTGCAGAAGTTAAAGACTTACACAGCTACTCTCCATGGAAAAGCTATCACACAGCACAATGAACAAAGACAGCAGACATGTGCTCCTTGTTAGGGTTTGCCATATAGTTCATCATACAACCTGGATGACAGAAGATACCCAAAAGTGAAACGAGTATATGACCAGGGTTGAGAAAGTCCCCTATTAAGAAATCAATTATTAAGTTCCTATAATACTGAAAAGCTAAATCCTTTCTAGTATTATAAAACAAACCTACTTTTAAAAAAGTTCCATCTTCCTTGAGGAAAAACACTTTTAACCCATGCACTGCAATGCATGGGCTGTGCAACACTGCAGCCGCAGCGTCATATAGGGCGTCTGTACCACTCTTCGACCAGCGTGAAGATGGGGGTTTGTCAAAAGACACACACCAACTGATGGAAAGTACCAGATCTTCCTCTATCACATAAGCTAGTCTTTAAATACCTGATACTAAAACATGTGCAAAATAGCACCATATTCTAACTTATGATATTGTGACTTCCCCACGGGACTTAAGCACTGCTTCAGAATCCAATAATCTTTTCCTATCTTTAGACTCTTTTAATTTTTCTCTGAAAACAAATCTCTAAAACATGCCAAGAGGAAACCATCCCTTCAGAATCTCATCACGTCTGATCCTCAACAGTACTTGTCACCCTCCTGAGCTTTGGGGGAGTAAAGCTATATAAAAGCACAGTCATAGTCCAGGCTATGGCACCCCCACAGCCTGTTGACCAGGTCCCTACATCATTACCCAGAAACACCAGAGTCAAAGCAAGGCCAAGCAAAAATGAACAGCAAGTCAAACACGCCAATGATGGAGACCAGAGATTTTGCGAAAGCTCTCAGCTTTCTTCCTGTGTAGTTTTCAAAGATAGTTTTATCTTAAAAGAAACCATGTATCCAAAGTCAGGATTTTCTTAGTAGATGCAGTTCCTCTCTAACACAGAGGCAGAGTGCCTCCCGGGGAGCTCTGAGGAAGGTTCTCTATGCAGCTGATAAAAGCAAACACTGAGCAAGGGTAAATGCCTGGAAACCTTGAAATAAGACCCCCAAAACATGCTACGTGTCAATAAAAACAGAGTCACCCAGGCTGCCATTCTCTCATTTTTTGTCATGTTCGGTCTCCAGAGAAATTCAGAAGGAAGCCGTGATTCCTCGCCCTCTCTGATGGACACCCTGACAAGTGCTGGGGACACAAAGGAAGCCTTAGAGCACACACGGTGCCCATCGGCTAGAAATAAAAGAGACAAAGCACACTCAAAAGCCATTTCCAGACTAAAAATCATCTTGAAGAGTTTTAAAATTTTGGAAAGGACACCAGCTTGAGAGCTACAACACATAAAAATGAGATTCGTGCACATTTTAGTCAACTGGCTAAATATAAATATACCTGATTTAAACTTTTACACTAACAGGCTAAGTCCCAAGTTCAAACTGTAGTTCACGTGACTCCAGAAGGGCTCTTTGGAAGGGTGCGAACCTGTGGAGAACAGTGTATAAACAACTGTAAACATACACTGATTGTCCACTAGCTTTTTAAATAGAGTTCTGAAGGATTTTGTAGGAAATTATATATAAGAGTGTAGTTGATCAGATAATTTCTATAACATATAAATTCTGCTGTGTGTGCAAAATGTGGTAGAAAGAGAAGATGCTATGTTTGTCTCATGTTTTCAAAGTGAGTACAGTGTTGTAATCCATTAGGAGTCCTTTAATCTTCTCGTGAAACTTCTCTCGGTACAAGTTGAAGTACATAATGCTTTCTGGTTCTTCTTCAAGCCAAAACTTGTCAAATTCATAGACAAGGTAACCTGCAATTAAAAACCACACAAACATGTTGACCACGGGAATAAAATCCACTTAGGCCATCTCATCTTCAGAAAGCACGCATCCACCTTGCCAGTGAGATGGCTCAATGGTGCCGCAAGCCAGGCAACCTGAATTCAAATACAGCAAGCAAAGTGCAAATGAACTAGGAGACCCATCTCCCATCACTTTCCTGGCCCTCGAAGATCTTAAACAGTAAGAGGGAAAGCATAAACTCTGGACCTCACAGGCAATGGCTTGAGTGCGGCTGCTGTCCTGGCAGGCCAGCACAGACTCCCCCAATACTCACAGTAGAACTGCTGGAAGTGCTCCATGGTTGGCGCCCCAGGGACAAAGTTGTAGAGATACAGCTTCAGGGCTTCGCTCTTTAGTAAGCTATAGGCCATCTCTGTGAGATTGATTCCAACTATTGCATACGAATACCTACGTCAGAAACAAAACCAGTCACACAGCTAGCCGGCAGCCCGCAACAAGCTTCCAGTGTGGAAACAGTTGTCACTCAAACAGTGCTGCTGCTCGCCTGACACGGGCGCACTTTGCAAAAATCTCTCTATACTTAGGGAGGCAGAAAGATCCAAAGTGTTTGCTTCTTGAGGGCTGTTAATTTTCTGGAGAGAAGCTAAGAAGTAAAAATAAAATTTCCTACCATACAACATCTAAAGACAATAAAGAGAGGGAAATCTACATTTACCAGGCTTTATTATTCTAACTATTGAGTATAAAGCTAAGAATAAGGCAAGGCCTCAATTTGCATTTCCTTTACCATTTTCTACTACTTTAAAATAAATTTGGGGGGGGGGGTTGAGACAGGGTTTCTCTGTAGCTTTGGAGCCTGGGACTAGGTCTTGTAGACCAGGTTGGCCTTGAACTCACAGAGATCTGCCTGTCTCTGCCTCCCAAGTGCTGGGATTAAAGGCGTGTGCCACCACTGCCCCTGAAATAATTTTTGAAAAAAAATTTGAGCCCCCATCTTTGTTTTATAAACTATATCATAAGATACAATTTATTGGAATACATAGAACATTTTTGGTCATTTTTCTTTAAAATAGTTTATATCATTTCTACAGTTATCACTCATTAAAATAACATCATTTTAAGACATATTTTGAAATACTTTCAGATTTATATAGTCATTTTCATTGCTAGAGTCTAGCTTCTTTAATGCTTGTCCAGCTTACCCTAATTTGGGGTGATTTGAACGGGAAAGAATCTGGTGTGCTTCGCTGGTGTAATTTTCACTGAAATACCTGAACAAGGAAGACGATGAAATGAAAACGTTACGTAAACTCACGAGTAGCGTGAAAACCTCAGCACAAGCAAATGCTACCATCTAAACAACAGCCTTGCTCCCACAGCCACCCCCTTTCAAGCCCCCTCAATGGCTCACAGAAGTCTCAGAGTCCAAATTTAATCCTAAGGAATCAGGCCTCTCAATAAGGAACACAGGTAGATGGCAAGACTATCTTAACAGAGAACTCAGCTACAAAGGGATTTCCTATTTACTAACAAAAGAAAAAGTCCTCGTTTTGCAACTTGCTAATTTCCGGCCTGTACAACACTCAGAGGGCACCTGCGGGGCCGCCCGTCATGTCTCCTCTCTGCCACAGCTGGAGTGTGCATTTCTACCCCACTGCTCACAAGCAGACATCACAGTCGTGTGTGAGTCCTGGCCATCCTCACATCAGCTCAGTGAAGAGCCCTGTACTCCATCTAGAGGTCTGAGACTCTCAACACAGTCAAGAGTCAGACTGCTAAATGACTAAAGCCCCAGGCTCAGAGGGAGGTGGGGAAGTTGCTCATCTTCCTTAAAGATTACTGTCTGATTTATCCTAAGGAAGAAGAATTATATAGAACTTTTAAGATTTTAGACATTACCAAAACATACATGCTTTTATAATTTAAAATAGCATACATCTTGAAATCTCATTATGACATATCTTTCCCCCAGTAGCTTTATCCATATTGGCCTAAATATTCTTTTCTCAGTATTAACTTAGTTTAGTTCAATTTCAGATTTTTTTCACAGTAAAATTATCCAAAGAGCCAGGCAGTGGTGATGCATGCCTTAAATCCCAGCACTCTGGAGAGGCAGGCAGAACTCAGTGAGTTCGAGGCAAGCCTATTCTACAGAGCAAGTTCCAGGATAGCCAGGCCTATACAGAGAAACCATCTCTCAAAAGTAAAAAAACAGAGAAATTATTGGCTTCTCATTCTCTAAATGATTTATAGTGTATAAATCATAATTCACAGGCAAACTGAAAGACTGCAGTCTAAACACGTGCATATCTATAGAAGAACTCTATCTCAACCTTCCTTATGTTGCAACCCTTTAACACAGCTCCTCATACTGTGGTGACCCCAACCCTTTAACACAGCTCCTCATACTGTGGTGACCCCAACCCTTTAACACAGCTCCTCATACTGTGGTGACCCCAACCCTTTAACACAGCTCCTCATGCTGTGGTGACTCCAACCCTTTAACACAGCTCCTCATACTGTGGTGAACCCAACCCTTTAACACAGCTCCTCATGCTGTGGTGACTCCAACCATAAAATTAGTTTGTTGCTGCTTTATAGCTGTAACTTTGCTACTGTTATGAATCATGTAACTTTCCTTACAGGGCCGTGACCCACACGTTGAGAACCACTGGTAAAAGAACTCCATCTTCCAGTGTACTAGAATAGTGCTGGCTATCGGCTGTGACGTATTTTAGGATTCCATGCGCATGGCCTAAGTACTAAGGGAAAAGGCAAGTTGTTACAGCCATGATAAACAGACCTGGGTCCAGGTCAACTGCCAGACATAGTGAGGGGTATGTCACCTAACCTGATTCTGTTTTCCCAAATGCAGTCAGAGCCACACGGTGGAAACAGGAGGGCAGAAATGGAAAGGAGGAGGAAGGCACTGCAAACGCTGGTGAGTCATCACGGACGCAGGTGCGCACAGGGGATGCGCGGATGCGCATGCGCACACACTGTTTCCAGTTGCTGTCAGCACCCTAGCAAACATGTGGACTATAGTCATGAAAACTCAGAGTCAATATGAAACAACAGTCCGCTCTCACTAGATTTAAAAGAGACGGGAAATAACAAGGAATTGCATTCACCCAAGGAAAGGAAACTTATTTCACTTACACAAGATTGATCAGTCCGAGTATGCCCATGCCTCTGAAGTCTGTTTTGGGATCATCACCTTGGAAACCAATGTCCACCCACTGCTTGGAGATCCGGGCCTTCAACTTTTTCGTAGGCATCAGAAGACTCCAAAGCTGTGCAAACATGCTTTTGTGTTACAAATGATAATGATGTTCCTGGTTTACTAGGACGTTTTCCTCTTCTTAGCTTAAGTAACGCATAATTGAATACTTTGAGCTCAACAACTTTTAGGAAAATTCTAAGACCACCAAGGGTTGAATTAAAAACATGGTGTATCTATTCCAACCAGAAAGACTGTTATAAAGAATCATTTCTTTAAATCAGAATCACAGACATCTGGAGCAATGACCTGCCTATGTTTACTAGTCATTTGATATATATACAACTTCTTTGGTGTATATATTGACTTCCCATTCTCTATATGATTTATAGTCTATAAGTCATAATCACAATATATGGCAACACATTGATTAGTAAACAAATATATATGTTAGCTATACACACATATATATACATATATATATATATATTTACTAGAATTAAATTGCTTAAGAGCAGTCTTGGATAAATGGACCCATAATTTGGCTTGAACAGGTTTTGATGTAACACTGGGTAGTTAATCTTTAATCCAATAAAATAAAATAGGCCTGAGGTAGAGAACCATGAAGAAATAAGATTAATAAAACTCAAGAGATAAGTGTATGTGTACATGAGACTATTTAATAAAGTTTATTTTTTAAATGGCCTACTTATAAACAAGTAGAATCTTTAACACTAAGTTGTTATCAAGAGTCGTTGACTAACAATCTTTCCCTTTATTAGATATGAACAAACCAGTCAATGAAAAATAATTTAAGAAAATTTAGTCAGTTTCAAAATCCAATGTAAGTCATCAGACAAAAACAGAATTGTAGACACTGATTAAAAAACTGAAAAGCTTGGCAAAACAAAATGCTTGCACCCCCACCTCCATATCATTGCCATGAGGCACTGCTGAGTGATGGAAGAGTGTCCCGTCACCTAAGAGACTGCCAAGACTGGCCTTCCAGAATTCTGGCCCTGAAGCTAAATCCAATGATTAGATTGGACTTTATCTTGTCTACTCTCTCACTAGCAACCCAGACAGCTCATTGCCATCAACAAGGAATGTGAACATAGCATAAGGCTTTCAATGTGTGGGCTGCAGTGTAAAACCACTACTGCCCAGTTCTTATTTGATGTCTGATTATGGAGAGGGCATCTTGCTATGTAGCCCAGGAGAGTCTTGAACCCCCTTCCTCTTGCCTCAATCTCTAGAATTCTGGGATTATAGGTACATGCCATCATATTGAGCTTTTAATACTCAAAATTTAATATTCATAAATACAATTATGGGCTGTAGCCTGGAGATTCTGATTTCATGAGGTTAAGGTGGAAGTTTGTATCCCAAACGTAGACACTGACAAAAGCTGGTGAACATGTTTTTGGATTATACTTAAAACTACTTCAATTCCAGTTTTCTTCCCAGGACTGCTGTGCTAAACTCAGAGTCAGCAACTGTCACTTCCTCCAGAGCTGAACTGCGTAAGGGACAGTCAAGGGGAAAGGTGCCTGGAGCAGGCGCTAGGCCGTGTGTCTTATCCCTTCAGGAAGGCAGGTGTTACACAGAAAGCATCTCAAATTAAGGTGAATGAAGATAAGAGTACTCATCTAGGATGCTTTAAATTACTTCAAATATAAGCTCAACCCACACAGTAACCATTTATTCACCTCAAAATAATATCAAGTTTTATTTTAAATTTGCAATTAGGTAAAGTGTTTATTTATATTTTTTCCGAAAAAAAATGTTTTTCTGTTTGTTTAGATTTATTTTCATTTTATGTTTATGAATGTGTTTATGTGCACCATGTGTGTGCCTCATGCCTTCTGGGACCAGAGAGGGTGTCAGAGTCCCTGGAGCTGCAGTTACAGATGGTGCTGGGAATTGAACCCAGGTCCTCTGCAATAGCAGTAAGCACTCTTGGGTGCTGAGCCCTGGCCCCGGCCCCAGCCCCAGTTTTGCTGTGTTTAAGCATCTGATCTTACTTAGGTCTCTGCAATATTACTTTCATAGGACTTTTGGGTTCTGTGCAGTCCTAACTCCAAGTGCAATATATGCTAATGGGTTATGTGTGAGATCAAAGTGGAACAGGAGACTGGGAGAGAAGGGTTTAAGCAGGGATGGGGAGCAGAGAGGAGAGGCAGGTAGGGAGGGTCAATAAAAACTAAGCACACCACATGAAATGCCAGGAAATCTCCAATGAGAGGAGGGAGGAGGGAGTGAAGCAGAGAGGATGAGGGAGAGGAGAGAGGGAGAGGGAGAGAGGAAGACCAAAAGTATGAAGGAAAGCAAGCATACTCAAAAGCACCCCTTCAGCCCTCCTGAAGGCAGTGTGAACTGGAGCACAGATGAGCAGGAAGCAGCTCTCCCCAAGCTCTAGGACTTTAGCACCAGCAGCAGGCCAGCCCATCCTCCAAGGCCTTATAATCCCTTCCCCACAGGAAGAGCCAGACTGGATGGGCTACAGCACTCTCTCTACCACAGCGGTGTCGCTGCCTGCACACCCTACACACCAGGAGCAGGTGACAGGAAGCCGTCCTTTCTTACAGTTGCAGTCTACTGCGCCCCAATGCTGTGCAAAGTGGGCATCTATTTTCATAGCTTCTGTGCTACTGAGGGAAAGCCCAACCTCCACAAAAAATTAGATAGACGGAAGCTCTGGGGCCCAGGCACCCCTGCCTGGAGGCAGAATAAACCCCCTTTTATGAATGGATAACTTATCTTAGAAGCTCTATTTACCTGAATATATTCTAAGAAATGCTTATCAAGTAAGAGTTACTGATCAGGGGGCTGGAGACATGGCTCAGTGGTTAAGAGCACTGGCTGTTCTTCCAAAGGACCTGGGCTCAATTCCCAGCATTCACTTGGCAGCTCACAACTGTATGTACCTCCTGTTCCAGGAGATCCAACAAACACATAAACACACAAACACACATGCAAAACACCAATGTACACGAAATTAAAAAAAATATTTTTAAAAAGTTGTTGATGTACAATCTTTCCCTATCAATGAAATCTATCACACATTCTCCAAGAGGCAAACAAATAGGTGGACTGAATGAGCTTCTAGAACCCACACAGTTGAAGCACTAAGCCTGCGCTTACCTTGAGGAGCAGTTTCTCATGCTGCGCATTGCCAGAATCGTAGGGTTTTTTCCTCACATTTTCCACAGCCTGATAGAGCTGCTTATAGCCAGATATCTGCAGTAAGCATGTCCTCATGCATATCTGAAAACTGAAAGGATAACATTGTTAGTTTAAATCAAACCTCTGATCACAACAAAGCGAGGCCTGTTTTTCCTTCACACATCTCTGAGCACTCCACCACACAGCAACGAAACTCTGAAGTGCTCACAGAACAACCCACAAGTTACCTGTTCCCCAGGTAACCTGAGCAGGGCTCGGCACAGCACGCTACAGAGCCCCATGCCATCACAGAGGGAGCAACGCACCTGGTGTCTTTCTCCCGGCAGATGTTCTTCTCCTTCATTATGTCTGCTACACATCTGTCCAGCTCACTCTCGGCAACTCGTGTGGCACTCTGGAGGACCTAGGTATCGAGACACAGCTGAATGAGAGAAATCCCCGAGAGTTGACGTAGAAGTCTGTTTTGAGACATTTAATCAGCTTTACCAAGAACATATTAAAATGCAAAAAGAAACCACACTTTCTTCAGATCTCCGAGAGCTGGAATCATGCAAACATTTACGGTTTTCTAAAAGCCTCCTAGTCACACTTATAAAAGAAACCCTAATTAAATTCAGTGGGTAAAAAAAAAAAAGTAAGTCATGAAAATGGAAAGAATATGGTTATGAACTATTACATATTTATAAAAATTGTCAAAAAGAGGCACAGTTTTAAAATCAATGCTAAAGAGGAGCAGCAACAGGCTCTAGGAGCTGTCTTCCTGTCCGCAGCCCGGGCTCCCCACCCAGCACCAGTTCTCTAGCACCCCTTGCTGGCAGCTTCTTTTCCCACGAAGTACTGTGTCAACATATTAAAAGGTAGCCATTCGGTGGGGTCTGCATCTGGTCTGCCTGAAAACTTCCTTGTCTAGAAAGCCCTGGTAGGTCCTTTAATCTGGTCTCTTAGAGGACCATTTGAGCTACCTCGGCCCCTCCCTCTATTTCTGCATAAGTCTGCAGATAAGCTTGTCAGTTTCTTCAAAACATACTCAATGAGATTCTAATTAAAATTTTGCAAACTCGCCGGATGGTGGGGGCAGATGTCTTTAATCCCAGCACTTGGGAGGCAGAGGCAGGGGGAATCTCTGTGAGTTCAAGGCCAGCCTGGTCTACATAGTGAGTTCTTAGGACAGGCTCCAAAGCTACACACAGAAACCCTGTCTTGAAAAACAAAATAAAACAGAAAAATAACTTCACAAACTCATAGGTCAATTTGGAACTTATATTTTAACAATAATGAGTCTTTTAATTGATGAATACCAGGCTTCATTTTATTCTTTTTTTTCTCAACAATTTCTCCACAAGTTTTAGGGCTGAAGATAGTGTTCTCCCGGTGTGTGCTCTTCTGGCTGCTGTGGTAGGTAGCACTGCTCTCTCATGGTCCAGAAGCTCACTGCTAACACAGACAGCAGTGAGCTACCTGCTGCCAGACTGTTCAGTTTGCTTGTTAGTACACAGCAGCAGCCTCTGAGGACTCCAGGCTTGTCCACATTCTCAGACTACATTTCTGCTAATAGTTCTTTCTAGCCAACTACTTCTTGGGTTTGTTTCTGGTTGGCTGTGGTTCCCAGGATCTCCAGTGCAATGAAGCTGAGCAGAAGCAGAGAAACACAATGCATCTGTCATGCTTCCACTACACATGACAAGACATTTACTATCGGAAAGTTTTCCGTGCCAGCTGCAGACTGTTTGCTGGCCTTCAGCAGATTGAAGGAGCTTTTGCTCCTCTAGGTGGGAGTTTTTAATCATGATCAGATGTTTTAGTATCCACAAAATGATCATATTTTTTCTGACTCTGTTAGTGTGGTAACAAATTATACTCACTGATTTTAAACTTCAATCATAATTTATTATCCTTGCTGGTGTTCTGTAAGGATTCTTATATAACATCCATAAAGGGTACCGAGTTGTACTATATATTTATATGTCTTTATTTGGTTCTAGTCTGTCCTCCAAAAAATAAAAAAAGCTTTTTTCACCTCTATATCCTAGGACTTTCTGTTAACAGTGGCACTGTTTCGTCTGTCCATGAATGTTTGGTGACAATGAATTAGGCCAGGCTGGAGAGAAGGCTCAATGGTTAAGGGCATTAGCTGCTCTTGTAGAAGACCTGGGTTTCGTTTCCAGCATCTACACAGTGGCTCACAACCATCTGTAACTCCAGCTCCAGGAGATCTGATACCTTACTGACCATCGTGGGCCCCAAGTATGCACATGGTGCACAAGCATGCATGCCGGCAAACACCCTAAGATAAAAACACAAAGTTCAAATATCTTTTAAGAGAGACTTAATTAGGCCAATGATGGAGAGTTTTAAACATTTTAAATTGGAGATTTCTCTTTTTGAATATATGGTCAGCTAGGTCTTTCGTTTGTTTTCATATTAGTTGAGAAACTATCTTTTCTACAAACTGTTTCCATTGCATCTAAGCTACAGGATTTACCGGCATGAAGTCGCTCACAGAACTTCGGAATCTAGGCTAGGGTGATATCTTGTCTACACACTCGGTATCTTTCTTCTCTCATACTTGGTCAGTTATAGAGGTTATTGATATTATTATTCTTTTTTAAAAATCAGTTTCTGAGCTTGTTGGTAGTCTACTTTTGTGTGTTTCATAATTTCATTGCTTTTCTGCCTTATTTGTAAGTTCCTCAGCTTACTCTGGACTTAGTATCTTCTCAGGTCTCTAAAGATACAGATACAGATAATTAGTTTAGGTCTTTAAAATTTGCTTTGGTAAGCTAAACAAATGTTGATTATGCTCTGATTTTCTTTCTCTGTTTCCAACAAAATTCTTTAACCAATGGAATCAATACAATGCTTATAGTCCAGATATTGAAATTTTTCATATTTTAGCAGCCATGGGAGATAATTTATAAGCAGTCCCTAGTCTGTAACTGAGTAACTGAGACTTAACTTTTAGCATTCAAAGAAGTTTCAACTGTCAAACAATTTACAATAAAAGACAGCCATACTTTGAAATCACTTTTGGGGATAAGCCTTAATAGAATAAATTGCTGTTATTCATAACAAGCATTGGGAATGCAAAACATTTAAATACATAAGAGAGTTTCATGGATGCTTGTCCCTGGCTTAACTATATCACCATCAATATTATCAACATGTATTTTCTTGTGCTGCCTTCATATTAATGCCTCTAGTCGTAAAACCATCACATGGTACTAATAAGGATCAAGCCAACTGCACAAAGGCCAACAAGTAGGAAGCAATAAAATCAGAGTTTTTGTCCAGATTTCTTCTCGTGCAATAAAACGCAGAGCCAGTCGATGGAAATAACACAAGACCAGAATGAGATTTTTCTCTTGAAGTAAATACAATGTGTGAAATACGCACAAATTGCATGCGTACGTTGGCAAGCCCATCTCCATGTACCAACAAACGTGCTTTGGATTTCAGCTTCAAGACAACAAAGCATCTACTGTTTAACTGAGTCTGTGCAGGATTAGCTATTCTCTTTATAGTGTCCTACAAAACATCAGGATTTTACTTTACAGGTTTTTGTTTTATTTCGTTTTTTGAGACAGGGTTTCTTTGTGTAGTCCTGGCTGTCCCGGAACTCACTCTGTAGACCAGGCTGGCCTCGAATTTATAGAGTCACCTGCCTCTGCTTCCCGAGTACTGGGATTAAAAGTGTACACTACTATCACCGAGTAGTATTTTACTTTTCTAATGGTGATTGCATAAGAATGCAACCTTAACATTTATATTTCAAGTGACATTTTTAAAGAAACTAGTAAGTGAGGTGAAATTAGAATATTATTTTGCTTATTTAATACACTCCTGTAGAGTCTTGACCATCTTGGGGGCCAAGTGACCCTTAAACAGGGGTCACATATCAGATATATACATTACAATTCATAACAATAGCAAAATTACAGTTATAAAGTAGCCCTGAAATGTCTCTATGGCTGGGGACACCACAGCATGGGGAGCTGTGTTAAAGGGTGGCAGCATCGGGGAGGTGAGAAACACGGCTCTGTCGAGTCTACACCTTCCTTCTCCCTGCCACTCCTGACTTCTCTCCTGGCGATAATCACTCAGCACCAATTTTACTTCTTTATCAGTCACTGAAGACATTGGCAGGATGCTGAAATGCAGTCATGAAATCCTCGTTGAGAGTTCACCAACATCTTACCTCCTATCCTACTTATATTTAGTTTAACACATAAAATCTCACTAATAACTTCTGAGACCATAAGATACTGCTGCAGCTGATCCTCATTACAGCGGTTCTGCTGCTGCATGGGTGCTGAGTTCAGATCCTGTACCTTCTCCACGAGAACACCCAAAGGGAGCAAATACTACACGCCCCATGTGGAGAAAGGAGACCCTGCGGCTGCAAACCGCTCATCTCCGTTTTGTCTATACTCAGAGCACTGTTACTCGCTGGGAACTGGTGCAGGCTCTAGGGACACAGATGCAAATTACAAACACCATGCTTCATTCAGGGCAGGAGAAAATGGAGAACTAGAGTAAAATACTGCACAACAAGGAAGGCAAAAGGACAGGGAGGGGAGGCTGCGGGTTACAATTCCAAGCAGAGAGTGGTCAGAGCACTCCTGAGTTCAGAACTGATGAAACTGGAGATGGGGTCCCTTAAGCTTTCACTGGGAGAACAGGCACTCCGGCTCTCACGGCACACAGCCCGATGGCAGGTGGTGAGACGGTCTGGAGCGGGAGCACAGTGGTGATGACACGGAACAGGACAAGAGCCAAGCCAGATGCAACCATGAGCAACGCAGGGGCAGGTGGAGCTCCAGGTGCCAAAGCATTCGAGAGGACACACGCCTCAGGAATTGGGGCGATGCTGGCTCTGAGGGTGTGGTATGAGGGACTGTTACACTGTCACAATGTGGTTTCCAGACCACAAGGAAGCCCCTGTCAAAGGATGGCTCATTCTCAAATATTCCCAGATTTACAACACAAAGAGACACAACTTGCTTAGCATCCATTGGTCCATGTGGCTTCTTACAGAAAGAATGGGAGCAGGCAAGACACAGGGCTGAACCTCCTAGCAAGGCCCTGACCTGACCTGCAGGACCCAGTGTCACCAGGAAACCAACACATCAGAAACAAAACCAGGATTTCTGGAGTGGGCCCAGTGCCTACATTCCAACAAGCTCCAGAGGGCTGGAGCTGCTGCATTTGGAGCTCTGAGAGATGATGTGTCCAAGAAGGCCCACTACAATGCACAGGCTGCTGTGGAGATCTGCCCCTCTCTCTCTCTCTCTCTCTCTCTCTCTCTCTCTCTCTCTCTCTGTGTGTGTGTGTGTGTGTGTGTGTGTGTGTGTGTGTGTGTAAGAACCAGAGCAGAAACTTTCAAATTTTCAGATGCCTTCTCATAGAAAAAAACAATCATTTTAGGTTGTGAACAAAAGACAACTCTACGCCCCTGCCACTGTCCCGTGTTTATCTATGTAAGTTGTTCTCACACAGTTCATCGTGAGGCTGTATCGAAACTAGTAAGCATCCACTTGAGCGGCAACTCTCCAGAAAGAAGCATTCAGCGTGCAGAATCTACCACCCTTCTGTTTCAGCATGAGTCAGCAACTCTTATCAACACTTGCAGACTGTGTCATGTCCATGTGCTTACTATGATTTATGATTCACAGTTTACAATAGGACCAAGTACAAACATATACAGATATCTAAAGCAGATGCACACACAGGAAACTGAACTAACAATGTGGAAACAATATTTAATCTTACCGTGAGCAATCATCTCTACGTATTTACTACTCCTTTTGTCACTATGAATGCTGGCCATAGTCCTTAACAGTGTCAAATAATGACCTACGTGCCTGTATGTTTGTCTTTGCTACTCCAGTAATTCTTACACACAGAACACTGTGATCTGATTAACACTAGCATCAAACGCTGTGGCTCGCACGTGGCAGACCGGCGTACTGGTCCTGATTTTGCATCACTGCAACTCAGTTAGGCAACCACTTGCCTGCCTTAGCTTCACAGAGTCAGACTGCACCTGCGGACTCCTTGCTTTGCACTTGACCACACAGGTAAACCCGGGAATGCAGATGGAGAGGACATGGTCTGTCAGGCTTCCAGTGAGTCACTGAGAGACCACTCCCTCTGCCAACACTGAATCCCACACCTGGGGCCTATAGTGGGACAAGAGGAACACACCTGAGACTGTGACACCAACATGACACAGGGTCTTTGCAGCTGGCCCACATGTGCATGAGCACACATGTGTAACCCTGCTTTATGCTCCTGCAGCTTTGGGTTTGTTTCTCATATGGCAAAAGCTGGCAGCTACATGGCATACGTCGGGACTCGCTTTGGGTCAAAAGGTAGACATGCAAGGTTTGCTCCAGCCAGAATCGCTTTGCTCTTCTCTTGCACAAGCTACCCTGAGGACACAGTGATGGGAGGGCTTCCCTAAGATGCTGGTCTCCAAAAGCTACCAACTGCTACTGCAAAATAAAGAGGCAAAGCCTCAGAAGAGGACACAGTTGAAATACTCAAAACACAGAAAGTATTTGAAAACAGAATTACTACTTCTAAAATGAGAAAACTAAACTCACAGTTTCTCATAGCGAAGACAGTAAATATAAAGTGTTCTTTTTAAAGAAAAATATATGCTTATGTTAAGATTTGTAGAATTAGCATTTTAATATGCCCTTACCTTACTCTTGGAATATGTCAAGGAGTTTTCTGAAATTAAAAAAAAAAAGTTACCACTTAAATGTATTTTCTGCATTAGACCAAAACCAAATAGTAAAAATATAAAAGCAACGATAAGTCACTCTCACAGTTTAAGATACAATTTCCACATGAACAACAGGGCAATCATCTCAAGCTCTTATAGGATCAAGATGAAGGTAGAACGATCTCCCCTCAACACAGTACCAAGCTGGTGTCAACCTGTTTCCCCAGAATGTCTTGCTTCTATGCAGACCGCCATAGTGAGAGTGTTTGCCCACAGCTCAGCTCTCAGAAATTCATCTGAAGACTGTACTCAAAGCCACTTCTTTCTCTCCATTGCCAGTCTGAGTGAGTGGCCAGCGACGGAACAGCACAGGAACAAAGGAGCAGAGGCCAGACAGCCTCGCCACCTTTCCTGGACCACGCAAAGAGCAAACAGCCTCTCTCTGTAGTCCTGGCCTTCGTGCCAAGAATGACAAGAATATCTGTGTTGGTCTGTTAAAAAAAAAAAAAACCAACAACAAAAAAGTTTCTGGTACACTGAGAATGCTCTCCTTTTGGGAATTTTAAGAAAAATGCTTTCTGCCTCAGAGTAAAGCCTTGAATATGCTCTTCCCAAATATTGAAAAGTGCCAACCATTGCAGCCCAAAGAGACCTGTATCAAGAGGTGTGTGGGTCTTCTGAGCAGGCAAGAGGGAAAATCTAAGAGTGGCCATGAAATGCTCCTGCCATTCTTCCAGGGCCACCCTGGGTACAGGGCCCACTGCCCATGCCTCACTCCCTTGGCCCTAAGGGTCATGATTCCTCATTTGAGGCAATCTTGATCAACATAAAATAGGAACTGGTTAATTCTCGATTTTCCACTTAACACAGCAACCTTTGCTGTGGCTCTGCCTAGGTCTTTCTTACTACACCTAAACTGACTTCAAATCACATTTCTCAACCATCTGAGTTTGAAGTCAGAGCAATACTTTCAATTAAATGTTGGAAAACTCATTCGGCAGGAAAATAACACAAGCCAAAATAAGCCCATGTATGTATGTAGGTAGGTAGGTATGTGTGCATGTGTATATGTATGTATGTATATTGTATAAAATTTCCACAGCTACATCAAATTAGAAATTTAATTTATATTACCATAACTTAACAGATCCAAAAAATTATTACTTCAACATATTACAAATACAGGTATGACATCTTTACAATTTTTATATGACTCTGAGATCCAGTGTGTACCTTATGGGTACAGCACAACTCAGTTGACAGCATGCACACTCCAAGTGCTCAGCAGCCATGTGGCCATCTATCACTATGGGACTGGACCAGGTCCAGTGCTCAGCAGCCACGTGGCCATCTCTACAAGCCTGGCCCTGGCAGATTCTAGTAACCTTTTCTAGGATCAATGAGCAGTCTGCCCATTCGTGAATAAGAGTAGAATGTGAGAAGAATGAGGCCACGATGTAGGAAAAGATCCTGATTCTTCCAATCGTTTCACCATGTATTTGTGTAAAGTTTCAAATGGAAGAAAGAATAATTTTCAGTAAACTATTGCAAGCATAATCTGAAGAATAGCCGATGCTTTTTTGTTTGCTTGCTTGATTTTTCAAGACAGGGCTTTTTTGTGTAGCCCTGGCTGTCCTGGAACTCACTCTGTAGACCAGGCTGGCCTTGAACTCACAGAGATCCTCCTGATCTACCTCTTGTGAGCTAGGATTAAAGGTATGCACAACCACTGCCAGGCTAACCGATATATGTGTAAGAAACCCAAAATATTTCTTCTTTGGGTAGCTATAAACAGTTTTTCATATACAATCATTCAGTGTTTAGTAGTATAGTTAAAAGGACCCAAGGACCACGAAGCTTAAGAAACTCAGTTGCAATGATTTAATCAGAACACACAAGTACATTACCACTGGGTAGACAGAGAGCATTCAATTACGTTTTTATTAATCGTGAATTTTTCAGTTTTTGAGTAGCATTACCTATCCTGTATGTCCTCTGTGCGCCGCCATAGGTGTCAAAAATTCGCTGCAGTTCACACTTCCCAGTCATCTGTCGTAAGACCCATTTCATCCAAAACCGGAAAAAGTGCCCATAGAAGAACTCCCACAGAGAAATAAACATGTTGTCCTGGAGGATAGAAGAACACAAGCTTAACGGCCTTAAACTGGGGTTTTTAAAACCGAAAAACAAATTAAGCTGACCCAACTCCCCAAATTCCAAATAATAACAAAATCTTTTATTCCATGGTGTCTTATTTTGTGACTGTTCAATCAGTCAGGCAAGGAAACAATAAACAGCATAAATCAAATACTAATTAACTAAATGGTCAAGTTATCTCTAGGCCAAATGTTCACTTTTTAAAAAAATTGTAAAAAAAAAAAATAGGGAAAAAGCTGGCCAAATTATTTAATGGCTTAAAAGAACAATAACTACCTTACATTTTTACCAAATAATAGTATTTCGTATTTTGGATTCCTACTTCCATTTTTCATCCCTTCAAACTTGGAACTAAACAGTTTGAGAATAAAAAGACGAACCGAGCAACAATTTCAAATCAACCACACATCACATGTGGCTTCCCCAAGAATGAGCTCTTCTTGCCCGGGCGCAGAGCGTGTCCCAGCTGTCTCGGTCAGCTGACGCCAGCACAAGTGGCTTACAAACTGAAGCATACAGGCTGAAAACCGAGCAGATGGCATCCTGACGAACTCATGATTTTTCCAGTCAATAGACGAAGGGCAGAAATGCCACACACACACACACACACAAAGTTTTTTTTGTTTTGTTTTTGTTTTAAATCCCGCAAAACCTACACACTTGATACAACTGGGTCTTAGAAGAAAACTCTTCGAGTGCTAAACGAAGGCGAGGAGGGATGCCGGGGACCGAAAGGAAACCGCTCCTCGCCTGCCTTCCGGGCCTGGGATTCGCAGACACACCCTCTCGGCGCCGGGGCCCGAGGAGCTGTCAAATTCGCAATCCCCGCAGGCCAGGGCACTGGGTGCCGGTGCCAGACGCGCGGATCTGGGTCTTTAAAATGAGGCATCCCGTCCGCGCTCGTCGGGACGGAGGCGGCAGAAGGGCCAGGCACCGGCAGGCCGTCCGGGCGGCCGCGGGCCCCGGGATGTCGTGCGCGAGCCCCGTGGGGACCGCGCCGTCCCGCCCCTCTCGCGCGCGGGAACGCTGCACAAAGCCCCGACGGCCCCGGCCCCCTGCGGGTGAGCGCGGGACCCCCGCGAGGCTTGCGCGGCCGCACGCCAGCAACGCAGGGTGAGAGAAGATTAAAACAGCAGCCACCTCACAGGAGCGGGAGAACTAGGAAAAGCTGGCGCTGCCTCGGTTTCCGCCAGCTGCAAACACCGGCAACGGAAACGACGCTCTACGCCGAGCGCTCCCCGCAAACACCGCGACCCGGAAGTCGGCACCGGAGGCCGGGGCGGGGGGCGGGGAAAGGCGGTGCAGAGCTCCGAGCCCCGCCTCCTTACCCTCCTCCAATTGGCCCGCGCTCCCGCCTATCGCTGGCGCGAAAGGCGGGCCTGCCGGCTGGTGCGCCGGACGCCAGACGGTTCCCCTGGCAACGGGGGGCGGGCTGCCACGCCCAGTGTCAACGTGGTCGCCGTGGACTTGGCCTGGAAACTTTGCACCCGGGTTTCAAAGACTATTCTGCCTCGGGTGTGACTACAGCACTTTCACCTACATTTCCTAATCTGCGAAGTGATTATTTCCCCTCTTTATGAGAAACAAAGGAAACTTGGCTCCACGGGACTTTATGGATGTTGTAAAGGAATTTGGGTGGCCTGTGTGTGCAACGAGAAGTTGGGAAGTTTGGACTTTTTCCTTCTGAAGAAGAACATTGAACGATTAACTTGTCAAAGTTATTTTGTTCATTTCTCATTCATTTATTATTATTCATTTCTTAATTATTGTTTCTACTGGAGGAATAATTTGTGCACATTTTTAAAACCTCAAAAGGTACGGTTGAAGCCGGGCGGTAGTGGCACATGCCTTTAATCCCAGCACTTGGGAGGCAGAGGCAGGCGGATCTCTGTGAGTTCGAGACCAGCCTGGTCTACAAGAGCTAGTTCCAGGACAGGCTCCAAAACTACAGAGAAACCCTGTCTCGAAAAACCAAAAAAA